CGCTGTTCCCTGTGTCTTCCTTGGCTTTGTCCCGGACGCGCCTGGTTGGCAATTTTACCACCCCACCTCGCGCCGTGTCTTTGCGTCTCAGGACGTCACGTTCGACGAGTCGGTTCCCTTTTACCGTCTCTTCCCCTACCACACTGCCCCGCTCCCCCCCCCGCCGCTCTTCCTCGCTCCAGGTGCTCCCCAGGTAGACCCCCTCCCCGCTCCAGGTCCTGCTCCTTCAGGTGTTTCTCAGGTAGACCCTCCTCCCTTGACTGCGCCGGTTGAGGTCACTGGTGACTCAGGTCCTACTGAGGGTGGTCCTGCTCGGGGTGCTACTTCTGGGGGTGCTGAGCCTGGGGGTGCAGAGCCTGGGGGTGCTGAGCCTGGGGGTGCTGAGCCTGAGGGTGCGGAGCTTGAGGGTGTGGAGCCTGGTGGTGCTGAGCCTGAGTGTGAGGGGTCTGGGGGTGCTGAGCTTGGCGGTACTGACGCTGGAGGTTCTGGAGCTACTGAGGGTGCTGGCGCTGGAGGTTCGGGAGCTGCTGGAGGGCCTAGTACTGGTGGCGCTGGAGCTGGAGGTTCTGGAGCTGCTGAGGGTGCTCGCGCTGGAGGTTCTGGAGCCGCTGGAGGTACTGGTGCTGAGGGTACTGACACCGGAGGTTCTGGAGCCGTTGGGGGTGCGGGCGCTGAGGGTTCTGAGTCTGCTGTTGCGCGGTCTCCTTGGAGTAGCCGCCTTCGTCCACGTGTGCCTCTCACCCCACAGCAGCTGCAGGACTGGTACGGTCGCCGTCAGCGTCGCGCTGCTGGAGCCCGGGGCTCTGCTACTGGAGGTACTTCTGCTGACGTCACTGGAGCTGGGGGTTCTGGTGCTGGTCCTTTGTCTACTGGAGGTGCTGGAGTCGCTGGTTCTGGAGGTGCTCGTGCTGGAGACACTGAGGCTGGAGACCCTGGGACTGGAGGTGTCGGTTCTGGGGGTGCTGCTGCTGGAGACACTGAGGCTGGAGACCCTGGGACTGGAGGTGCTGAATCTGGGGGTGCTGCTGCTGGAGCCACGGAGGTTGGAGACCCTGGGACTGGAGGTGTCGGCTCTGGGACTGGAGCTTCTGGAGCTGCTGGAGGTACTGGAGCTGCTGGAGGTACTGGAGCTGCTGGAGGTACTGGAGCTGCTGGAGCTGCCGGTACTGGTGCAGCTGCGCCGACACGGCTGTTCTTCGCTCCGCCATCTCCGTCGTCTCTGCCGCCGCCTGACTCTGCTCTTCGTCAGGTTATTACTCTCCCGTCGTCTACTGGTCTTCCGTTACAGCCTGGCTCACCGCTGCCTGCTCCTTCTCCTTACACTGAGCAGACTGGTAGTCCTGCTGAGCGTCGTGAGCCTGCGTCGCGTCCTGTTTCGCCTGTTTTTCCTGGTCGTACCGGTCGTCGTGTTCCTCGTTCGCGTCAGCCGGCTGTCCCCAGCGCACACCTCGTCGTCCGTCGTCCTTCCTCTGCTCCGCAGCCTGTTCCTCTGCCGTCTCCTCCTGCGTCCTCTTTGCCTGACGTTCCGGACCCTGCGTCTGACCGGTTTCGTGCTGAGCACCCTACTGTCACGCGTCTACTAGCCACTGTTGTTACTGACCCGTCGTTTGAGTCTACTGCTGCGTCTGCTCTTGTCGCTGAGCTTGTTGACTTTGCTGCTGCCTGTCGTCTAGACTACGCCGCTAGTCTTGTTGCTGAGTCTGAGTCTGTCTGTCCTCCGTCCGTCGAGGGTGAGTGTGCTCTTGGCACGGACGTCCTTGAGGACAGGCAGGAGGAGTTCCAGTGCTTTGCGGCTGCTGTACCTCATCTCGTGTCCATGCTGATTGCACCTGAGGGAGACCCGGATGCACCAGACATCCCGACCCCGCGCTCTTACGCTGAGGCGATCGCGGGTGAGTACTCCTCTCAGTGGCAGACAGCCATGGACGCAGAGATGGCATCCTGGAAGTCCAGAGGCACTTACGTCGACGAGGTTCCCCCTCCTAGGGCGAACATCGTCAGTGGCATGTGGATTTTCAGGGTGAAGCGGCCGCCAGGTTCTCCACCTGTCTTCAAGGCTCGTTACGTTGCTCGAGGCTTTAGTCAGCGAGAGGGAGTTGACTTCTTCCAGACCTTCTCCCCCACCCCAAAGATGACCACTCTTCGGGTGCTGCTGCACGTTGCTGCTCACCGTGACTACGAGCTTCACTCTCTTGACTTCAGCACAGCTTTCTTGCAGGGCAGCCTGCACGAGGAGATCTGGCTGCGCCGCCCCCCGGGCTTCACTGGGTCGTTCCCTCCTGGTACCCAGTGGAGCCTCCGGCGGCCGGTCTACGGTCTCCGCCAGGCGCCACGTGAGTGGCACGACACACTGAGGACTACGCTTGCGGCTCTTGGGTTCGCGCCTTCTACTGCTGACCCGTCGCTGTTTCTGCGCACCGACACTTCACTGCCGCCGTTCTACATCCTCGTGTACGTCGACGACTTGGTTTTTGCCACTGCTGACACTGAGGCTCTCGCCCACGTGAAGTCGGAGCTGCAGAAGAGACACACGTGCACATACTTGGGTGAGCTGCGCAGCTACCTTGGCTTGCAGATCACCCGGGACAGAGCACGCCACACCATCACCCTGACTCAGTCACACATGGTGCAGCAGGTCCTTCAGCGCTTCGACTTCACCTGGTCTTCAGCACAGGCCACTCCTCTGGCTACAGGTCACTCCCTCTCAGCTCCACCTTCGGACGAGTCCGTAGAGCCGAGTGGTCCTTACCCAGAGCTAGTTGGCTGCCTCATGTACCTGATGACTTGCACTCGACCTGACCAGTTCACATGCAGGGATATATATATGCAGCAATAACAGTACAGTGATGACTACCTAGCAAGAGCAGGCATGCATGTATATATATATATATCACAGTACAAGCAGAGACTACAGCAAGTGTGGAAACGTAGGCACAAGTTCTAACAGGGTACAAAAGCGCTGATGATCACCAGACGGAAGTGCCTTGGTGAATATATCAGCAGTGTTGGCCCGAGTGGCCACGTGACGAAGACGAAGCTGACCTTGCTGCTGCAACTCTCGAGCCAGGAAGTAACGCAGAGCGATGTGCTTCGTTCTGTGCTCCTGTCTGTGCTCCTCACACAAGGCAATGGCCGCCTTGTTGTCAACGTACAGAACTGGAGGAGAACGAGGCCGCTCACCCAAGTCTGTCAGCAGGTAGGTGAGCCAGCGTAGCTCCTGTGCAGCCATGGCGGTGGCGTAGATCTCAGCCTCACAACTGGAGCTGAGAACAGAAGACGAGCGTGTAGACCGCCAAGAAACAGAGCCAGAGCCAAGGCTGAAGTCGTAACCCTGTGACGACCGCTGTGTAGTCTGGTCGTCAACCCAAGACGCGTCTGAGTGCCCAGTGAGGACAACTGGGCTCGTCCCTCCAAGCACTAGCCCCATGCCTGATGTGCTGCACAAGTAGCGCAGTACCCTCTTAGCAGCAGCCATGTGCTCAGGTCGGTGCCGACCAGGAGCCACGTAGCGAGCCAGAAGACCAAGAGGGTACGCGAGGTCAGGTCGAGTGCAAGTCATCAGGTACATGAGGTAGCCCACTAGCTCTGGGTAAGGACCACTCGGCTCTACGGACTCGTCCGAAGGTGGAGCTGAGAGGGAGTGACCTGTAGCCAGAGGAGTGGCCTGTGCTGAAGACCAGGTGAAGCCGAAGCGCTGAAGGACCTGCTGCACCATGTGTGACTGAGTCAGGGTGATGGTGTGGCGTGCTCTGTCCTGGGTGATCTGCAAGCCAAGGTAGCTGCGCAGCTCACCCAAGTATGTGCACGTGTGTCTCTTCTGCAGCTCCGACTTCACGTGGGCGAGAGCCTCAGTGTCAGCAGTGGCAAAAACCAAGTCGTCGACGTACACGAGGATGTAGAACGGCGGCAGTGAAGTGTCGGTGCGCAGAAACAGCGACGGGTCAGCAGTAGAAGGCGCGAACCCAAGAGCCGCAAGCGTAGTCCTCAGTGTGTCGTGCCACTCACGTGGCGCCTGGCGGAGACCGTAGACCGGCCGCCGGAGGCTCCACTGGGTACCAGGAGGGAACGACCCAGTGAAGCCCGGGGGGCGGCGCAGCCAGATCTCCTCGTGCAGGCTGCCCTGCAAGAAAGCTGTGCTGAAGTCAAGAGAGTGAAGCTCGTAGTCACGGTGAGCAGCAACGTGCAGCAGCACCCGAAGAGTGGTCATCTTTGGGGTGGGGGAGAAGGTCTGGAAGAAGTCTACTCCCTCTCGCTGACTGAAGCCTCGAGCAACGTAACGAGCCTTGAAGACAGGTGGAGAACCTGGCGGCCGCTTCACCCTGAAAATCCACATGCCACTGACGATGTTCGCCCTAGGAGGGGGAACCTCGTCGACGTAAGTGCCAGTGGACTTCCATGATGCCATCTCTGCGTCCATGGCTGTCTGCCACTGAGAGGAGTACTCACCCGCGATCACCTCAGCGTAAGAGCGCGGGGTCGGGATGTCTGGTGCATCCGGGTCTCCCTCAGGTGCAATCAGCATGGACACGAGATGAGGTACAGCAGCCGCAAAGCACTGGAACTCCTCCTGCCTGTCCTCAAGGACGTCCGTGCCAAGAGCACACTCACCCCCGACGGACGGAGGACAGACAGACTCAGACTCAGCAACAAGACTAGCGGCGTAGTCTAGACGACAGGCAGCAGCAAAGTCAACAAGCTCAGCAACCAAGGCAGACGCAGCAGTAGACTCAAACGACGGGTCAGTGACAACTGTGGCTAACAGACGCGTGACAGTAGGGTGCTCAGCACGAAACCGGTCAGACTCAGGGTCCGGAACGTCAGGCAGAGAGGACGCAGGAGGAGACGGCAGGGGAACACGCTGCGGAGCAGAGGAAGGACGACGGACTACGAGGTGTGCGCTGGGGACAGCCGGCTGACGCGAACGAGGAACACGACGACCGGTACGACCAGGACGAACAGGCGAGACAGGACGCGACGCAGGCTCACGACGCTCAGCAGGACTACCTGTCTGCTCAGTGTAAGGAGAAGGAGCAGGCAGCGGTGAGCCAGGCTGTAACGGAAGACCAGTAGACGACGGGAGAGTAAGAACCTGATGAAGAACAGAGTCAGGCGGCGGCAGAGACGACGGAGACGGCGGAGCGAAGAACAGTCGTGTCGGCGCAGCTGCACCAGTACCGGCAGCTCCAGCAGCTCCAGTACCTCCAGCAGCTCCAGCACCTCCAGCAGCTCCAGAAGCTCCAGCCCCAGAACCGACACCTCCAGGCCCAGGGTCTCCAACCTCAGTGTCTCCAGCAGCAGCACCCCCAGAACCAGCACCTCCAGTCCCAGGGTCTCCAGCCTCAATGTCTCCAGCAGCAGCACCCCCAGAACCAGCACCACCAGTCCCGGGGTCTCCAGCCTCGGTGTCTCCAGCAGCAGCACCTCCAGACGCAGCACCCCCAGCCCCAGCAGCTCCAGTACCTCCAGTACGAGCACCTCCTGGACCAGCGACTCCAGCATCTCCAGTAGACAAAGAACCAGCACCACTCCTAGCTCCAGGGACGTCAGCAGAAGTACCTCCAGCAGCAGAGCCCCGGGCTCCAGCAGCGCGACCCTGACGGCGACCGTACCAGTCGTGCAGCTGCTGCGAGGTGAGAGGCACACGTGGACGAAGGCGGCTACTCCAAGGAGACCGCGCAACAGCAGACTCAGAACCCTCAGCACCAGCACCCCAAACTGCTCCAGAACCTCCTGCGCCAGCACCCTCAGCACCAGTACCTCCAGCAGCTCCAGAACCTCCAGCGCCAGCACCCTCAGCAGCTCCAGAATCCCAAATGTCAGTACCCTCAGCAGCTCCAGAACCTCCAGCTCCAGCGCCACCAGTACCAGGCCCTCCAGCAGCTCCAGAACCTCCAGCGCCAGCACCCTCAGCAGCTCCAGAACCCCCAGTGTCAGTACCCTCAGCAGCTCCAGAACCTCCAGCGGAGACAACTCCAGGAGCAGAGTCACCAGCTCCAGCAGCGCGGCCCTGACGGCCAAGGTACCACTCAACCAGCTGCAGGGAGGAGAGGGGGAGTGGACGACGAGAGGGCAGCGGCGAGGCACCAGCGGAGCGACTACGGAGACGGCCGCTCCAGGGAGACTGCTCACCAGACGCCTCAGCAACCCCAGGTGCAGCACCCCCAGACTCAGTACTGCCAAGCTCAGCACCTCCAGGCCCCACACCCTCAAGCTCCGCACCCCCAGGCTCAATGCCCCCAGGCTCAGCACCCCCAGGCTCAGCACCCCTAGAAGTAGCACCCCGAGAAGGACCTGAGTCACCAGTGACCTCAACCGGCGCAGTCAAGGGAGGAGGGTCTACCTGAGACACACCTGAAGGAGCAGGACCGGGAGCGGGGAGGGGGTCTACCTGGGGAGCACCTGGAGCGAGGAAGAGCGACGAGGTGGGGAGCGGGGCAGTGCGGTAGGGGAAGAGACGGTAAAAGGGAACTGACTCGTCGAACGTGACGTCCTGAGACGCAAAGACACGGCGCGAGGTGGGGTGGTAAAACTGCCAACCAGGCGCGTCAGTGACAAAGCCAAGGAAGACACAGGGGACAGCGCGGGCGGAGAGCTTGTCCGCAGTGGTATCGCGGACAAAGGCACGAGCACCCCAGACCCGGAAACACGACGCATCGCCAACCTTCCCCGTCCACAGCAGTGTGGGCGAGGTCTCCGGCAAGGAGACACGGGGCCAGAGGTTGAGCTGATGCGCGGCGTACCGGACCGCAAACGGCCACAGAAAATGGGGGGTAGCCGCATGGATCATGGAGGTACGAGCGACCTCCATGACTAAGCCAATGCGGCGCTCAGCAACCCCATTCTGCTGCGGAGAGGCCAGAAGCGTGAACGACTGGGTGATGCCGTGCTCCGCACAGTAGGCTGCCAAGAGGTCTGAGGTGAACTCACCGCCTCTGTCAGAGTGCAGACGCAGGACAAGAAAGTCCCGCTGGAACCGCTCGCGGAGCTGGAGATGAACAGCGCGGATCCAATTGATCAAAACATCAGGGACGTCCCCCTTGCTGCGCAAGGGGAAGACCGTGGTGTAATGCGTGTAGTCGTCGACGACCAGTAGGAAGTACCGCTCGTGGCCCTGTCCACGGACGCGGGCTGGGCCCCACACGTCCAGGTGGAGAGTCTGCAGAGGAGCCTCTGTGGGAGGGAACGAGGAGGAGTGAGGAGCGGCGTGCTGCCGCCCCTCGACGCAAGGAATGCAGGGCGGCGCAGGCGAGGGAGGTAGGGCAGGCAGAGACCTGGGAAGACCAGAAACCAGGGAGCGAGAGTGCATGCTACGAAGGCGAGGCAGGGAGGGGTGACCAAGGCGGAGACACAGGAGAGTGTCGTGCGACAAAGCGCGACACTCGCAGGGGGCCGCCAGCTGACCAGACGCAGACGCAGCTACCTGAGGGGACTCAGTGGTGAGTGTGTACAGACTCGAGCCAGGTGTCAACCCGTCCGAGCACACGTACAGTGAGTCACTCGCTGACTCGCAGGAGTGAACTGGTCAACCCCCCCATCCTGGAGGTCAGCTCCACTCACCAAGTTCGTAGAGAACGAGGGGAGGTAAAGACCTGACAGCGAGCCAGACGGGGCGGCTGGACACGGCAGAACCGTGGAGTAGTGGGCAAGGACAGGACCCCCAGAGGGGTCCGCCAGGGAGACTGCAACTGGCCGACTAAGCGGCGTGAGTGTGGTGCAGTCGCGAAAGAAGGAGCGGGAAGCTCCTGAGTCAAGGGTGAAGGTGTGCAAGACCGCAGCAGGCGCAGTACCAGAGAGAGCAGACTCACCAGCACCTGGAGCCGCAGCCTCACCAGCACCTAGAGCAGGAGACGTACTAGCACCTAGAGCAGCAGCCTCACCAGTACCTAGAGCAGCAGGCTCTATACCAGGGTCAGGCGGTACGCACAGGGAACAACCACGGTCAGCACTTGTAGGCAATGCATACATGGTAGTGAGAATAGCATCATAGTCAAGAGCAAAGATATCTACCCTCTGTCCAAGCAGCTCCAGCCAGGTGGGGAGCTCAGCCTCGTCGCCAAACACTGTACGCCAGTCGTCGCTCAGACGGGCGAAGCAGCGGGACTGTGTGTGACCAAGCGTCCCGCAAGGCTGACCAACCCGATCACCTGTGCGAATGACGTACTGGCAGCGAACTGTACGCGTAGACCTGCTACACTGAGCGTACCACTCGTGGAGCATCCGGGACGTAAGTGTCTCGCGTGGACGCCGCTGCAGCTGCAGCTGGCCGCTGCTAGACGCTCCCAACTGACCAGCTCCAGGGCGACAGCTACGACGGCTACCGCGACAACCCCAGCTAGTATACCACTCACTAAGCTGCTGGGGCGTGAGAGACTCACGTGAACGTCGCTGGAGCTGCATCTGGCCACCTGCCAGTAGCAGTAGCAGCAGCAGTAGCGCGGGCAGGGCAGGCGTGGCAGGCAGGCAGGCAGGCCAGCAGGCAGGCAGGCAGGCAGGCAGGCAGACAGACAGGCAGGCCGACAGGCAGGCAGGCAGGCAGGCAGGCAGGCAGGCAGGCAGGCAGGCCGGCAGGCAGACAGGCAGGCCGGCAGGCAGGCAGGCAGGCGCTCACCAAAGGCTGGAAGAGCAGGCGCTCGCCGGGCGAGCAGGGCCGGCGCTCGACGGCGGCGGCCGAGTAGGCGCACGACAGCGGCGACGTCGGGGCCGCAACAACGGCTGCAGAGTAGGGCCGAAGCAGCTGCAGGGCGGGGCCGCTTCAGCGGCAGTTGCAGGGTGGGGCCGCGTCAGCGGCAGGTCGGGGCCGTGGCAGCTGCAGGGCAGGGCCGCATCAGCGGCAGGTCGGGGCCGTGGCAGCTGCAGGGCGGGGCCGCATCAGCGGCAGGTCGGGGCCGAGGCAGAGGGACGCGCGCGGCTCGGCGCGGGCTGCGCTGACAGCGCGCTGGGCTGCTGCAGGCCGCGCGCGGCCGCGCTAGGCAGTAGCGGGCCGCGCGCGGCTCGGCGCGGGCTGCTGCGGGCCGCGCGAGGCAGTAGCAGGCCGCGCGCGGCTCGGCGCGGGCTGCTGCGGGCCGCGCGAGGCAGTAGCAGGCCGCGCGCGGCTCGACGCGGGCTGCGTGGGCTCGGCGCGGGCTGCGCGCGGCAGCAGCGGGCTGCGCGCGGCTCGGTGCGGGCTGCGCGCGGCTGCAGCGGGCTGCGCGCGGCTCGGTGCGGGCTGCGCGGGCTCGGTGCGGGCAGCGCGCGGCAGCAGCGGGCTGCGCGCGGCTCGGCGCGGGCTGCGCGGGCTCGGTGCGGGCCTGAAGGGCGTGTAGGGGCGGCGCGCGGGCCTTACGGGCCTCTAGGGGCAGCGCGCTGGCCTAGGGCAGCAGGAGGCAGCGCTAGGGCTGCTGGACGGCGCGCGTAGTGCAGCACGTCACAAGGCAAGGCAAGGCAGGCAGGTACGTGGGGTAGCGCGGTAACCGCAACGGTAGGTGGGCCCGAAAAAAAAACGGTCCTACGGACCTTAGTGCTCTGAAACCATGTTAGAATCTAGCAGCAGGAATGATGAACTAGCAGCATGCAGGAGTACAAGTAGTAAACCCTAATTGGGTTGTACCCTATATGGGCTACCCCACTACAGCCTAGACAATATGCAGCATATATGTTTGACATGGAGTACAATATTCTAGGGTTTCCTACTTGTACTCACTCTTCCTAGTCCAACCATTCCTCTCATTCTCATTCTCATTATCAGAGCGGGTTCCCTAGTGGGACCGTTCCTTCCTTGGGCCCACCTTTGGAGATTTTTTTTAACCTGCCCGTAGCGCGCTTTGCGCCCTGCCCTAAATTTCGCGGCCCCTTAGAGGCCTGCCCCTTAACGGCCCCTTCGCGGCCCCTCTTAAGGCCCTTCGCGGCCCCCTCGCAGCCCCTCTTAAGGCCCTTCGCGGCCCCTTCGCGGCCCTTCGCGGCCCCCTTCGCGGCCCTTCGCGGCCCTTCGCGGCCCCTTCGCTGCCCTTCACGGCCCCTTCACGGCCCTTCGCGGCCCTCTCCCGGCCCTTCGCGGCCCCTCCGCTGCCCCTCCGCGGCTCTTCGCGGCCCCTTCGCGGCCCCTCCGCGGCTCTTCACGGCCTGCCCTAGCCGCTCTGCCGCCCCGTCGTCGCCGCCCCAGCAGCAGCTGCCGTCGCCCCTGCTGCCGCTGCCGCTTCCGCCACGGCCGTTCGCCGCCGCCGCTGCTGCCGTGACAGCCGCCGCCGCCCCTGCCGTGACAGCTGCCGCCACTGCTGCTGAGACAGCCGCCGTCGCCGCTACCGTGACAGTCGCTGCCGCCGTTCGTTGCGGCCGCCGCAGTTCGTCGAAGCCGCTGCCGCCGTCCCGACCCTGCCCTGCAACCGAGCCGCGGCCCTGCCCTGCCGCCCTGTCGCGGCCCTGATCCTGCTGGCGCACCTCGGCCCTGCCCCACCACTCGCGGGCTTCTACCCACCAGCCCCTGGTAATCGCACCGCCGAGCCGCGCCCCTACTGCTGCTGCTACTGCTAGCCTGCTGCTGCTGCTGCTGCTGCTAGCCTGCTCCGACTGCTGCCATGGCTAGTCCTGCTGTTCTTACCTTCGATGCTGAGGGTCGTGCGATAGACTTGAAGTCTGGCTTGAGGATCTGCAGCTTTTCCTGCAGTGTGATAGCAAAGACGATGTCTCGCTGTTCGACCTCACGTCTGGTGCCTCTCCTGCCCCTGCTGCTGATGCTGACAGTACTGTTCGCTCGCGCTGGACCACACGCGATGCTGCTGCCCGTCTTGCTGTGCGTAGTCACCTGCCGTCTGCTGAGCGTGCGCACTTTACTCAGTACAAGACTGCTAAGACCTTGTACGACGCTGTCGTTGCGCGCTACTCCTCCCCTGCCTCTGCTGCCCTTAGTCGCCTCATGCTACCATACATTTTCCCTGACCTCGCCGCCTTTGCTACAGTCGCTGACCTCATTACGCACCTCCGCACTAGTGACACCCGCTACCGTGCTGCGCTTCCTGCTGAGTTCCGCGCCCAGACCCCCCCCCCCATGTACATCACCCTCTACTACCTAGTCACCCGGCTCCCTGACTCCCTTCGCTCGGTCAGGGATCACTTCCTTGCTCTCTGCCCCACCACTCTCACCGTTGACCTCCTCGAGAAGGAACTCATTGCAGCTGAGAAGAGGATCGTCGCTGTAGGAGCCTCTCGAGGTGACCCTCGTGTCAGAATATAATGCTTGTCTAGTCTGTAGTGGGGTACTCAATAGTGAGTATAACCCTTTTGGGCTTGCTATTTGTACCTCCCTCCTTTCTAGTTCAAACCCCTTCTCTCCTATTTCTCTTTCGTGTACCCTAAACCCTAGGCTCCTAGTCCTAGGTTATGCTTAGCATTTCAACATGGTATTAGAGCTGTTACGCTCTTGGCCTGTGGGCCCCACGTGCTTCCGCTGCTGTTTCCTGCTGTTTCTTGCCTGCCGCGCGCTCCGGGCGCGCAGCGATTTTTTCTGCCCCGTCGGACCGCGTGTCGCCCCCCGTCGCCCGTCGCGAAGCCCCCAGGGACCCGTGCGTCGCCCCCGTCGCCCGACGCGGCCCGCGCGACCTGCGCCAGGCCCGCGCGCGGCCCGTACGGGCTGCGCCAGGCCCGCGCGCGGCCCGTACAGCCCGCGCGCGGCCCGTACGGCCTGCGCCAGGCCCGCGCGCGGCCCGGGCAGCCCGCGCGCGCCTCGTCCGGCCTGCGGCAGGCCCGTGCGCGCGCCTCGTCCGTCCCCCGAGCTTCTGCCGGCGCCCCACCCCCGCTACTGCCCGCGTTCCTGTGTTAGGGTTTGGGGGTGGAGGGTATGGGGGTGCCGTGTGTGTGAGCCGTCCCCTGCTCCTCCTCCTCCTCCGTCTCCCACTGCTGCAGCTGCCGCTGAGGGGGGTGGATGTGTTGGAGCCGTCGGAGTGGTACGAGGGGGGTGGCGTGTAAACAGTGCTAGAGGTGAAGCAGGGGGTGTGTGACAGGGGTGTGGGACAGCTGGAGGAAGTTGAGTGGAGGCAACCGTTTTGTCGTCCGCAGCGCCTGTAGTCCAGAGAGCCAGCTGCGTCTGTGGCCTGAGTAGTCCGGGGCTGCGGCCACTGGTAGCCACAGTACTGCGCACTCCTGTTGCCCGTATGTCTGCCGCTTCAGCCATCGCCTCCCATCTTCTCGCCCCCACAGTTTCTCCTCCTCCTCACTTGCCCTCTCTGATAGTCTCTAGCTTTGCTTATAATTGCGACCTATTGCTCTGCCTGCTTGTTGTGCTGATTGTACCCCACTTTGACTATGGGGGTGTGTCAGAATATAATGCTTGTCTAGTCTGTAGTGGGGTACTCAATAGTGAGTATAACCCTTTTGGGCTTGCTATTTGTACCTCCCTCCTTTCTAGTTCAAACCCCTTCTCTCCTATTTCTCTTTCGTGTACCCCAAAACCCTAGGCTCCTAGTCCTAGGTTATGCTTAGTATTTCAACACCTCGTACCCTTGTCTTTGAGGGGTGCTCCCCCCTCCCCCTTTTGCCCTCTGTTGCCTCTGCTGCTGCTGTCGACCTCCTTGGTACTGAGAAGGTCGGTCGGCGCTGCGTCTGCTGCCAGCGGGAAGTGCCGCAACAGCAAGGGCAAGGGGGAAAGGGCGCTGGAGGAGCTGGCGGGAGTGGTGGCAGTGGCGGAGGAGGTGGAGGTGGGAGTGGTGGCGGAGGTGGGAGTGGTGGCGGAGGTGGGGGCTCTGGTGGCAGCGGTGGAGGCGGAGGCAGCGGCGGCGGCGGCGGTGGGAGTGGAGGAGGTGGCGGTGGCGGCGGTGGCGGCGGTGGCGGCAGTGGCGGCGGTGGCGGTGGCGCTGGTCGGGGTGGCTCCGCGCAGCGAGGAGGCTTCGGTGGTGGCCAGCGTCAGCAGCAGCAGCGCTCTCGTGAGGCCCCGCCACCCCAGCAGCTTCACCAGTGGTACGCTGGGCGTCAGCGGCCTGGGGGTGCTGGTCCCTGTACCTACGTCCTACGTACTGGTGACCGCACTGGGGAGCCGTGTGGCGGCCCGCACACCACTCAGCGCTGCTTCGGCCGCCTGACAGACGCCTGGCATCTCTGGTTCCCTGACGCCACTGAGCTCTCTCGCTGGCATGATCTACTTAGGTTGGGGGTTCCTATCTTTGATCTTGACTATGATGCTATCCTTGCTGCCATGTATGTTATGTCTACTAGTGATGAGGGTGACTGTTACCTGAGTGTTCCGCCCGACC